ATGTGACATTCCTGTCCCCCTAGATCAGCCGATTTCACGCACTGAGAAAAATTTCCATCGAATAAGCCAATTAAATAGTTAACAAATTGGAGGAAAGGGCCAACGTGAGCCAAGAAATGTTCCACACGTTTCGAGCCACTTCGGATCTTCTTCAGTAAAATAACAGAACATTGAAAGAAAATGTCATTTTAGCCGTCTAATTGTCTCTCGAGAAAAATGAACGCTTGCGAGCACCACGTTGTGTCAGAAATATGAAAAGGACGTTTCCCCATGCCTGGTCGACGACGACGACGACGTTTCTTAAATGAGAATTTCACAATTCGGACTTTGTATTGCAATATCTCTACTCATGGGGCACGTAGCAGAAAAGTAAAAACACTATTATTATGCAAATCGAACCCAAGCTATCAATTGAGCTTACAAGTTCATCGGATCAGCCGTTGTGGAGATCCGAAAATCTGAGGGCCTGTCAACTCGCGTTAACTACACGGTCGGTCTCACGCGCGCGGTTCTAGCTACGCTTATACACTTTTCCCAGTGCGCTCGGCGACAAAACGAATCCTCTCGCGTGAGGCGTGAGATCCTCCCCCGCCCTTCCCTCGCTCTTCGCTTTTCATTCACTCGCGGGAGATCGTTTCTCTCGTCCGGTTCTCCTTCTCATTTTCCTTCGGCGACGCGAGGTCGCATCGCGCCGTGGAAGCATTCCGCTTTTTAAACGCGACGCGCATTTAAGGCTCGCGTTCGCCTCGATGCGACGCACGTCCGCGACGCCGAAAAGGAAACGGCGGCGGCGCGCTCGGCGGTGTCCGCGGGATCTTTTGTCCGTTTCTTTTTCATTTCAAGATCTACGATCGCACGAAGCGACGATTGGACCGAGCGACACAAATGCGCAAAACGGATGAGGTGTTTTGCGCCCTTGTCAAAAATAAATTGCTCGAAATTCCGGCGGAATTTCCATTTTCACTGGAGAGTCTCGTTGGGAATCGGTCGTCGATCGGAGTTTTGCTTCTTACGTAAGAATCGCCGGTAGAGCGAAATTACGTAAGCCACTTGTACGCTTGGGACGTGCTGAATCGTATTAGCACTGATACAAGGAAAACGCTCGGCGATTGGCACGAAATGGGAACGGCTGTCGCGTGGCGTGAGCGAGAGGGGAATACGATTATCGCTTATATCGTTCGCGTGACTGGAGCCGAGTAATGAAATTTGGCCGTTGCATCGCGAGAAAACGAGAGCGCGCATTCCCGCCCGAGCGCGTCTCCTCTCTCGAAGAGCGGAGGGCGATTATTGAGTAACAAACGAGAGAGACGTTTAATAGCCGCGTTTCTGTTTCCAACACTTTGCGCGCGTTTCCGCGCCGAGCCGCGAGGATCGCACCTCGTTCGCTCGTGCAACGACTCGACGTTTCTCCGAAACGGTAAACAAACGGGCCGCGTAACGCTGCTCCCCCGGAACCCGACGTTATCGATGTCGGAACTGCGCGCCGTTGTGCTCGTCGGCGAAGGCGGAAATGGCGAGCGGTCGCGGTCAGCGGAAAGGATAACAGACCTCGAATCGAAGATCGGAGCCCCTCGCGAGCGTTGGCGTGTTTGCGATCGGTTAACGGCTGATTAAAACTTTAGGCGAGGTCTCCGCGAGGATCTCTCGGAGGGTCTCGCCAGAAGAGTCCCTCCGCGCGTACTCGGACACCGAGGGACGATACTCCTCTCCTCAACTGACTTGATTTTTCCTTTCTAGTAATAAATCTCTTCCAAGCATCTACGACTCTCGCACGATTAACGGAAGTCGATAAGGGGCTTCTGGCGAATTAAGAAAACGGAGCTCGAGAGACAGAGAGAGATTCGATTTGAGGTTTAATTACTGTTGGGGATGGGTGAACCCGCAATTCATAAATCCACTATGCGTATATGGACGCTCTTTATTTTTCTGTAGTTATAAAACTGGCCAATCACAATTATTCCTCAGAAGAATGGAATGATTGTGATTGGCCAGCCCCCTAACTGCAGTTGAATTATTAAACCCGATTACCCCTGGTCCACAATCTTGCTCTAAATAAGCTGTAAGCCTTAAGCCGTAAGAATTTAACTAATCACAGGTGTCACGCGTTTGATTCTCGATATTGACCGCGAGACGAAAAGCTAGTACCGCCACGACGGTAGCGTAAAGATTGCAAATGCCACGAGTCGAACGTATCCAATTGTTCTTTGAGTTTACGCACCCGGTGGGAATTCACTGAAGAGTGTTATGAGAGCGAAACGATGGAATGATACAAGGAATTGAGTCTAACGTTCAAGTAAAGGAATGGGATTAATCTATTAGGGACTCGCTCAGAGCTACGAGTGTCTAAGACTCAATTTCATCATAGCGAGATTAGCTGGAAGAAGGAATTATATTAGATAATGACATAAGAGAGAATAAGAATTCAAGCAGGATGTGATTGGTTAATTTCTTACGGCTTAAGGTTTACAGCTTACTTAAAGCAAGATTGTGGACCAGGGGTAAGAGTGCCGGAGAAAAGGCGCGCGATATGAAGGGAAGCGCGTACAATTACAAAAGTAAAAGTCGCGAGACGGACAAACGATCGTACGCTCGTGAAGGAGAAATCGTCTCGAAACTGGCACCTCCTACGGACGACATCCGGTAACGCAGTGGCAACGTTCTGACGGAATATCGCGTCGAACGAGGCGCGGAGAACGCGTGATGAGGCTTTTATGCGCGACGCCGTCGCCGCCATTCGAGGGTGAGAAAATGAGCTCGCTAATGTACTCGCGACCTTGCCTGGCGTTCCCTCTTCTCGCAAGTGGGTTCCGACGTACGCACGGTGCACGGTAAATGCCTCTCTTCCTGGCCTGCCCTTCCCCGTCTCCCCGCCTCGCCGACCTCTCCGGCCGCGGCCGCCCGGCCGAGAACGTGTTTCGCGAGCGACATATCGAACGTCGCGATTTACGATGCGTGACCGGAGAGAAGGTCGGCGAGGAACGGGACGTGGACGGGACACGCGTGTCCGAAGACGTGTCGCCCCGGCGCAAACCGCGTCCACGTAATTATTGACCGTGCCCGCTCCGCGCGGTTTCGTGACCCACTTGCCATTGACAACGCCTATTCTCTTCTGACCCACATCGTCGTCGACTCGCTCGCTCGTCCGCCCGCGTCCGCGTACGCGCGATCTGTTTTCCGTGCACGCGGGAACGGCCGGCTCCGCCCGCCCCGCGAGATACCGGAAAACCGCGCGGCGGGCGGAACAATAATAACGGGGGCGGTGCACGCCGGTCACCTCGGACAAAAATCCCGATATCATCGATTCCCTTTATTCCGCTCGGCGCCGTTATTCGTGGCTATCGAGCGGGACGACTGAATAAAAAAAGCAGATGGTATCGGCTCCAGTTTCGAAAAGGCGCCGCCGCTCGCGCGAAACGTATCCGCAGCGGATTAGATAACGCGGGGAGCCGCGGAACGCCGCCGATCGCCACCTTATCACCGTACCCGTCGACAGTTCGTTGTGGGTCTTAATCTTGTTTCGTCTCGTTTTCCTACACGGAGAGAGCTTTTTCCTCAAATATATCCTGAAGCCCACGTAATCGTTGGACGACGCGGCATTTCGGGGACTTTTGTGAGAGTTTTTTTTTTAATTTTGCCATACTCTCTGAAAGTCAATCAGTGAATTATCACAGAAATTAGTGAATAGATCACTGATTTAAAGTTACAAGTATACCACTGCGATTTTCAGTGGTATATTTATAACTGCAAATCCGTAACTATTCATTATTTTCGATGATGAGCCACTGATTGACTTTTAAAGTCTGTGTCCACGATGGGGTTTATTTTTATGGAACAGCTGCAAGTTGATTGGCTACACATTTCTCAGAACTAGAATGGATGCTAGATCCAAGTTCCAGTTTCCATGTGTAGCCAATCAGCCTGCAACTTTTATAGAATAATTGCAATTTAATTTGCTACACATTTCTCAAAACTAAAATGGATGCTAGAACTTGGACCAAGTTCATTCTACTAGTAATTGTACTTAATATACATAGTTTACATGGTAAGAACCTAAACGACGACACTTGTTCACTACTGCTTTCATCTACTCCTAATTAATCGCAAAGTTTCAAAAAACTCTCACACAATTTTTCAAAATGCCATGTGGTCCCACGATTACATGACCTTCAGGGTAAAGTTTAAGAGAAACCGTTCGCGACGATCGATTTCTTCTCCGTCTCGGGAGACAGAAGTCCCGTTCCCATCTCTGCGCTCGCTTCGACGATTTTCATGCAGAGCAAATTTCGCTCGTCCCGATCCTATAACGAACCCGCGCGTATTTTTTGGCATCTCGCCAGATTTTACTCAACTCGTCCCACGAGATAGAGAGCGAGAACGCGAACCGAACGTCTCTCCAGCTCTGCGCCGCCTCGGAGCCGGCTTGGAATAATTCTTGGCGGATATCCACGAGTCTGTCTGCCGCGTTTTCGCGTTGCACCGACTTTCCTATTGGTATTAGTCGGCTTACCTAGACGCTACAAATCGAGAGAGAAAGAGAGAGAGTAAGAGGAAGAAGGAATCTGATCGATGTTCCACAAATATACAGTTCACGCGAGAAATCAGAATTCTATTTCGGTAATTCGAGCCTAATTTGGCCTTCAATATTTGACAACTGTGCGATGTTTGTTAACTTGTTCGAAGCGATGATAGCTATTAGCACTCGTGATTACGTGTATCGGAAATCTCATGATACATGCTAGATGCGTATATATTTTTTACGATTCGCTCGGCTTATTAAAGTGTACTTATCACTAGCATCGAGCGAGAGATCAAGATAATGAAGTAGTCAAGTGGCTCGGGGGAAAAAAAGAAACGTAAATCTAAATAGACGGAAAACAAAGTAATCAATCGGTATCAAATACAATTGCAATTCTATACCTTGGCACAACCAAAGGTTTATCAAGTCGACAAGAATCGTCGTGCTTCGTCGAGAGAATTCATCAGCTGATTGCGTATTACAGGTTGGGCACTCGTCTCCCCCGCCACCAGCGCCGAGCTCGGGCCCCGGTCCAGGAGATCCGGAGTCCCCCAGGTCCGTTCAGAAGGAGAACTCGCCGCCGCGTGGTCCCCGAACCCTCCTGCTCCGGCGCGGCGAGAATGGCTATGGATTCACGCTGCGACACTTCATCGTCTATCCGCCCGAGTCCTGTTGCGTGAGTATCGTCGAGTGTGACGAGCCAGAGGCTCTGAATTGTCAAGCGAGAATGAAAGGGGATCTTGCCCTGCGCGTTGCAGATGCTGCCGGGACACGAGCGGACCAAGGTCGACGAGCCCATGGACACGATCTTCGTGAAGCAGGTCCGGGCGAACTCGCCGGCGGCCGAGGCGGGTTTGCGCACCGGCGACCGCGTCGTCTCCGTCGACGGGACGCCCACCCGGGGCGAGCAGTACGCCAGCGTGGTGCAACGCATTCAACAAGCGGGGCCGTGGCTGCGCCTCCTCGTGGTCTCCAAGGAGGATGACATTTTGCAGCGGGTACGTGGGATTCTTGCATCCGCAAAATGCCACACGAAGAGAATTTTCCTTTAACACTTACCCTGAAAGTCACGCAATCGTGGGACAACGTGGCATTTTGAAGAACTTTATGAGAGTTTTATTGAAATTTTGCCGTACTTTTTATCAGTAATTAAATAAAATTTCACAAAACTTGTAAAATTCCTCGAAATGCCATGTTATCCCCCGATTACATGATTTTCAGGGTAAATTTTAAGAGAAAATTCTCTCCGTGCACCCGTCGTCCTTATTTGCCGCGCTCACACTTATTAACGATTCCGCCGTTTATCGCCGATCCTTGCTTAATTTTCAACGATTCAATAATTCCCCGGCCTTCACATCCGCGATAAGGAGAACGAACAATTGTTAACACTAATAAGAGATATCTCTCGACTCTTTCCAGTACTTTGGCGAGACGGCGCACAATCCCGAGACGAATCCACGACCACGATTGCGTTCTCCGGAGAGGCTGTCGCAGAAGCAACGCAGATCGATGAGCAGCATGAACCCGGGCGGCTCGCCGAGAACGCGGCAGTCCTGGGTTTGTTCTCTACCGTCGTCCGAGAGTCCAAATCATCTCGAGGAAACGATATGCAGGATGTCGCCGTCAACGATGTTTCAATTTCCGATCGAAGCTCAGATCGCGAACGCATTGCAGCAGCAGCAACGGGGAGGCATGTCGGAGGCAAGCGCGTTGTACGATCTTTCGGAGGATTCTCGAGTTTCTAGGAGGAAGCTGCAGCTGCACGACGACAATGTGCAGCCGAGCGGCCGATTGTCCCTGGATTCCAAGTACGATCTGTACGACAGGACGCGGCCCGAGTCGGTGTACTCGCGGCCGAGCAACGAGCAGCTCTACGACAGGATCAACGATCCGATTTACGAGCGCGTGCGCGTCAGCGAGCACCATCCGCAGCATTATTACCAGCCGTCTTTGCTGCGTTATCCGGTGTCGCAGGCGGAGCCGCAGGTGCCGATCTACCGGCCGATCAAGCGGATAGTGGCGCGACGCGCCAGCGAGGGCAGCGGCAACATCCTCGACTGCGAGACGGCGAGTTACGGCAGCATCGACGCGCTAAGATCGAGCGAGTCCAGCAGATTGAGCATCGACTCGAGACGGGACTCGTCGCCCGCCGCCAGCAAGGACAGCATGTCTCCCTACGATTCGAACTCGACCCTGACCGGCAACGAGTGCTCCGACGATTCCGTCATCATGAACAGGCTCCGCAAGAGCTTCGAGCAGAAGGCGGAATTTCTGCGGCGGCCGAGTCACCCAATCGGCTGGTCGGTCGAGCCGTCGCTGCTACCCAGCTTCAATCAAGCCGCGGTGATCCAGAGGGAGTTCTACGCGAGGCCGCAGAAGCTGCAGAGACAAATATGGCCGCCCGGACAGAACGAGCAACAGCAGAGACAGCAATCTCCCACGAGAAGGTCGTCTCTAGAGAGAAACGTCGTTACCAAGACCATCACGAGTCTGGTGAACAAGCCGTCGAATCAGAGCGTGCAGAGGATAAAGGACGTGGACTCTGAGTACTCGAAGCCGCGCAACGATCAACCGCTCGGGGACAATCAGTCTGTCGCGGGAGATCACTGTTACTCGCCGTCGCTTCTCTATGACAACGAGGTCGCCAAGGAACAGCAGTACCGAGGCGCGGGCAAGAGCAATTTCGTCAGCATCCTGTCGAGAATACACGAGAACATTAACACGAACCAACAACAGACGTCGCAGGAGACGCGAAACGGCTCCTCGTCGCTACCATCTTCCCCGGGGCCGGACAAGAAAGCCGGCGACAGATTCCCGGTGCCGCCGCAGGGCCTGCAGATTGTCTCGAGACGCGCCAAGCAGTTCGAGTCCGGTCGTTTGCTGAGCGACGAGGACGAGCCCGCTGGCGATCGTACGAATCTTTACAAGAGCGAGCTGTCCAGGTTGTCGAACAAGAGGAGTGTACCGAATGTGGCTCTGCGGAAACGGGAGTTCGAGTCAAAAGCCGAGAACCAGGACTCGAGAAGGATACCGTCCAGGGAAACAAAGTCCCTTGACACTGGTAAGATATTTCAATTCTAAATCATAGAGATTTTACCTTAATTTAGCACAGGAGCTCAATCATGAATCTTCTTCTCTAGCGTGAATTCGCGGGAAGTCAAAACTTTCCTCGACAAATATTGAATTCGTCAATGAAATTTTTCGCTTTTCACGCTAGAGAAAAGGATTCACGATCGAGTCTGAGAACTCGGGAAAACCTTTTGTTCCAACGTAATAATATCGCAATTGTAAACTTGTATCGACCGACGCTTTGCTAGAGACATCGTTATGAATTCTGCGATTAATTAGGAGTAGATAAAAGCAGTAGTGCTCAGATCAATGCTCAGTAAACAAGTGTCGTCGTTTAGGTGCGGCGTTGACAGACAACAGAATAATTCCTATAGGCAGCAAGCATATCCATTGCGAGCCACCGGCCGATTATAAAGAGAGTAAAGGTAGATAAAATTAAGAAGCTGTGTACTGTTTGCGCAGTGTCGTCTTGTACCGCTCTTGTCCTGTCGTTTGCATCCAGTGTGGATCGCAATCGCGATTAATAATAACTCGTGCTGTAATGTCGCTGATAAAATGATAATTAATGCACCTCGCTCGCTTCTCACGCTCTAACTAAGGCAAAAGTAGACGCATCTTTATTATCCCTGCGGCGCGACGTGGAGATACAAATCGCGAGTGGTTTTAATAGTAGATCGTTGAATATGATTCGCGTTTGGAAGAGACCGCGCGCGATCCGCTCCGAGATTGCTTCCAAGCGGAAGTAAACGGATAAAGCCGCGGTACACCGGAATTTGTCGACGTAACATTATGCACAAAGGGGACATTAGCCGCCCCCTTGCACCCGACGTTTTTGCCGCTGAGCTTCTTACGATATGTCGGCAATTGAAAATAGCAGCAGCGACGTATCCGCCAGCGCTTCCACACAGCGACACAGCCCGCGCACGCTATATATAATGTATACTCCACTTCCGTTGGTTATTAACAAAGCGATAGATGTTGATCGGCGAAGTCGTTCGTACACAAGAAATATAATAATACGCCGTGACGATGCTATAACGAGTCCCGTTCGTGTTGATCGAGCAGATCCGCCTACCGTGGAAACGGAATCGGTGCGTTTGAGGGCACGCAGCAACAGCGCGGAGTCCTGGGAGGCGGTGAACGGCCCGGCGGCGCGGAGCAGCGCCAGGCATACGTGGCAGACCGCCGAGGAGAAGAGCGGCATCGAGGACAACGGCAAAGCCTACCGCAATCAGGACAATTACTTGCAGTCGGCCAAACTGCAGCAGATCGGTTAGTCCCCCGCTCCCGCTCGCCGCCACCGCTCGCGTTTACAGATATATTCATCGTCGCTCACACATATCCACGTTACATAAAGGTCGAGCATAAAGCGTTAATAATCGTCCCATTGATTTCTCTTTCAGCGCCAGTCAATGGTTCTTCGCCCAACGGCTCGACCAATAACGCCGCGGTACTTAGGCGACAGAAGAATGCACAGATCAGTGAGTTCCATAACGATGGAGTGATATTTTTAACGTTACGCGCAATTATTGCGACGCACGCCTCGAGCGCGACGTGGCCGCGTCCCGTCGAAATTATGAGCGCGGCGCTTGCACCAGAAACCTCTTCTGCGCGTAACAAATCGGTTATTTAAAGGAGTCGCCGCCTGACAGTACAATGCTATTGTAATTCACCGTGAAATCCATGCGGGGAGAGTCCATTGTTCTTACACGCGTGTTGAATTATAACAGTATTGTAGTTTTAAACGAGCGTCTTCTTAAACGGCTGATTTGTTTACTGGTCGAGCGTTTCGACTTAAAGCTTTCATCAACGGGTATTTGTCTAATTATACGTCTAATGCCTGTTTCTACCAATGCCGAGATTAACTTTAATCTCGGTTTAATTTACTTTCCACCTTTTTCCAACACTTGGAACTAGAAAGAGATTAAAAGAAAGTTAAACCGAGACCAGAATTAATCTACATTGGTAGAAATGGACATAAATCGTCGAAACGTATTAAAAGACAGGAGGCGTTACGATTGCAATATCATGAGACGAAAAGGGGAGGCAGCATTGTAATCGGTACACTCGTAATTTACTAGGTGACGAGGATCGTGCCACCAGACGAGTCTCGTACCTGAAGGCGACCTGGGGCGAGCGTATGCACGTCGATAGCGATCTAGAGCTCAGCGATTCCGAACCCGTTCACATTCACAGAAGGTAATAAAGTAATCCTTTGACACGTGCATTTCGAGTTTCGACGCCGCGAGGATATTCGATTTGTCTTCCCTCAAATGCACAAAGATATGTCGTCGACGACACCGTTTTTTTCCCCTCCCGTCCTTGTACGTGGGGTTTGCTCGCGCGAGGCCAAGTAACGAGCGACGTGGTAATTTCGTTGTTAGCGCAAAGGTGTTAACTGTAAGTATATCACGAAGCCTGCATCTGTCCAATGTTTCTAGCGCGCACAGACGATGGCGGCCGCCGTTATTTCCGAGCGACATAATGCCTTTGCGACGCATCTTTGAAGATATGACGCAGGCCGCATCCTTACATCGAAACTCTCATCATCGGTGAGGGCGAAAAATTCCGTTTGAGAAGCACGGAAAGAAACAAAGTTGCATTATCTGTGCTCCGCGTCTCCTCCTCCGAGCTACTGTATATCCGCCCTCGCTCTCTTGCTCTCGATCCGCTCTCCGTCGTTTCTGTATATGTTTCGTTTGCGCTACTTTACCTGCCTGTAAACGGTGGTGAGTGACGAGTCATCGCGTTGCAATGCCAACAGAAGCATGAGAGTTGTTAGCATTTCGTGTATCGTCTTCCAGCGACATTTAGAACGTACACGGGGACAATTTTTCTCTGTATCCTGAAAATCACGGGATCGTGGAACAACACGGCATTTGAAGAATTTTATGAGAGCTTTTTGGAAATTTTACCATACATTTTACTAGTAATTATACTTACAAGTAACACTACGCAAGTGTCACACGCCAATTTTTTTTAAACTTTACACACTTGTACAACTTCGAAAAGTTCTTGCGTTAATTACGAATTCTGGTGCAAGAATTGTTGGAGATAACGTACATGGCCTATAGAATTGCTGCACATGGAATTGGTCAATATTTCGAGAGTAATTCCTATCCTTAAAATGCTTTGTGAGCACAAATAAAAAAAATAGGGGGTCAAATATTTTTCGAAGTTGTACAAGTGTGCAAAGTTTCAAAAAAATCGGCGTGTAATACTCGCGTAGTGTTACTTGTTAGTATATATGTTACTAGTAAAATGTGTGGTAAAAAAGTTCTTCAAAATGCTACGTTGTCCCACGATCACACGACTTTCAGGGTAAATTTTAAGAGAAAATTCTCTCCATGTAGACTTCCGAGAAGACCATTCATTCGTATACTGTGCTCCATACGGCAGAACAGACTACTATAAAAAGGATCGCGTGACAAAAATAGAATAAAATTAAAATAAAAAATCGAAAGTTGTTCATCTGGATATTTTCCGAGTGAGACGAATTATTCGAGGGGAACGAAAAACTTTCGCCTACTGCACTACAAGCAGATTTAATGAAGAAAAAAATACGTTAAAGAGAATATCGCTTATGAAGAAAAAAAAATTCAAGTCGGACGGGATAAAATTGAATAAGCGTAAAGTTAAATAGCTCGAAATAAAGAGTGGAGAGGCGTAATGAATCGAGAAAGCTGATAATTTCCCAATATAGATATAAATTGAACGTATCACGGCCTCGCGCAATTCGTATGCGTTAATTGCCCGCGAGTGGCGTCAGATAAGATATCCTTTCTTGTTTATTATTCCTACTGTGATAAGGGACGTGCGTCCATAAGCACATGAAATATGACACTTTCCTGTTCGTGACACTGATATTAAAATCATGTTGTGGTCGTCCATGTTATGCTGTTCTAGACTTCCTGACGCTATAGATAGACATGTTGGTGTCCTTTCGGATATCGATTTATTGGCTGATTGTTACTAACGGAATGACACTAATAAGCTGAAGATCAATGTGACCGCTGTTTTCCGTGTCGTGTTCAATTTAGAAGAAAGATGAGAGTACAAAGAGAAACGTAGTTGTGAATAATATTACGGTAAAATTTCTTTCGCTGTCTCTGAAATTGAAGATGATGTCCGCTACTGCATCACGCTGTACTTAAAGAGAAAGTGTCGATACGCACAGTTGCCTGCAAGCAACAGACTCAAGCGGCTTCGTTTCTTTTCCAGTAACAGCATTGCTGTAACGCATACGTCGAACAGCTGCGACGGAAATGCGAAGGATGTCGAACCAGTGGAACGGGAGGGAACACTCCACGTCAAATTCACAGTGCTCGATGGCAAGGTGAGTTGACGAACGAATTCCATTTGGATGAATGTATTTGTCTTTTAAACTGTAATAACATTTCAGCGATCTACCGATCGTTCCTGGAAGCAAGTTTGGGGTGTTCTCCGTGGTCCTATAATTTATTTTTACAAGGATCGCCATAGTCAGGTGAGCGGAAATATTACCGTTTGCATATCAGAGTCCGCCAAAGAAAATATAAAAGCACAATATTGATGGGATACTTGAATCGTTGTAGAGTCCTTCGTTGAGCACCGAGAGCGAGACAAATGCGGGACAGAGCGTCGACGTTAGGTGTTCCGTCGTCGACGTCGCCGAAGATTACACGAAGCGGAAACACGTGTTGCGAGTGGCAAATCCTACGGCAGAGGTGCTTTTACAGACCGAGGATGCGGCATCTATGGCCCTCTGGTTAAGGTCACTTCATTCTCACGCCGCCGCGGAAAGATCATCGGTGAGTATTAATTATAGGATATTTTTTGCGAAATCGTTATTTAAATCAAAAAAGAATAGACGAAAATACGGAGTCGGTATAATTGGCCTTTGCTGTTCTCGTTTTAATGATTCTGAATTATTCAGCCTCCATTATTTTGACAAAGATACGTTCCTCTACAGGACGCCATATCTTGCACGTCGAAGCAGCAAGCCGTTCCGCAAACTCCGACTGGTCCTACAACTCCGAATAGCGGCGTTCCTCCGAGCAACGTCCAGAGACTGAGTCCTCTGCCGAGCCATAAAGGCATCAAAAAGTTAACGTCGTTCAGGAATCGATCGCCGACGGGCCAATCGCCGGTGAACAAGACTCGCAAGCCGAGCAACCAGATTGTGGAACCTTTACCGTCGCCTAAATCAAAGACTTGGAAGGGAAGGATGGCCAAACAGTTCAGAAAGATGCACGGTCAAGCCGGCGGCGCGCCATCCTCGCCCACGGCGCAATTACCGCCAGAAGGGGCCACCTTCAAGATGCCGCTGGAACTCTGTCCGCCGTCCTCGTTCTCCGAGTACGTGCCGCTCATCGTCGAGATGTGCACGAGCATCGTCGAGGCGAGAGGCCTCGAGGTTGTGGGAATTTACAGAGTGCCAGGAAATACCGCCGCGATATCCCAGCTCACGGACAGTGTCAACAGAGGATTCGAGAACATCAACCTGCAGGTGCCCTATCCCACAGTGCCTTCGCGAGATGGGCGTGAATGTTTTTCTGAGACTCATGTTTTTTCCAGGACCCGCGTTGGAGCGACGTCAATGTGATATCGTCGTTGCTGAAGTCGTTCTTCCGTCAACTTCCCGACTCCCTGCTCACAGCGGAGCTATATCCCATGTTCATCGACGCCGATAAGATAGAAGATCCGCAGAGGAGGATGACCACGATACGAAAATTATTACGGGATCTTCCGGAACATCATTTTGAGACACTCAAGTATTTAATGCAACATCTTAAGAAGATAGTGGAGCATAGTGAGATCAACAAAATGGAGGCGAAGAATTTAGCCATCGTTTTCGGGCCGACACTGGTGCGAGCGAGTGGTTCGAGAGATAATATGGTCACCATGGTCACCGATATGTCTCATCAATGTAGGATAGTCGAGAGTCTGCTGAACAATGTGAGTCTTTGTTAAAGTGGAAAAACGCCGGCTTCTTAACAAAGTGCTGGGGTAAAATATCGACGTGTCTCGGTTCAATGTGTTTCAGGTCGATTGGTTCTTCTCGGAGGACGATCTGGACGACTTGAGCAGATTGAGCGTAAATTTAAGCCTCCCGACCGACAGCTGCGAAGTTGAACCAGTATCCAATCATAGTCTTTTATTAAACAATATTCAGAAAATTGAAGGTATATTGTATCGATTATTTTTTATGTATCACGTCTACATTATTTTATATCCAGTCTTTCTATCTCTTATTTATCTTAAACTTTATCCAATTTCTTTTTATTTCTTATCACTGACATTTTGTTAGCACTTCAAGGTATTTATCTCGTTTTTCTTTTGCTGTGGTCAAACAGGCATGCGTGACATGGCATCCGCTAGAGACATTGTATCTTCAATCATATCCGCAGCTAATAAGAAGATACAAAGAAGACGAAAGAATCAGGACGAGATCGATAACAGTGAACACGACAACGATAAGGTTGGTACTAAACGTAACTTTTTCTTCTGTGCATTGGTTTACTACGTAAATTAATTTAATGTTTAACGAATTAGGCCAAGTCGAAGCAAGAGTCGGAGAATTCGCCGACGATTCGACAGAGTATGGCTTTGAACGAACGACAGTGTTCCGTCAGCGAGATCGTGCAGATGCACGAGAACAAGAATCAATTGAATCATTCTACGGATCGTTCCGATCGTTCCCTGTCGGTCGACGCTAATAACAGCGGTTCGTCGCACGGTACGTGTTCATTGAATCGCGCCAAATACGCAATTCAATCCGCACCGCCGTCCGTTGACTCTACGAGACTGTCGATGGAAACTGGTCTAAGCTCGGCGGAAACTGGCTCCACTGTGTCCAGCAACGCGTCTAACCAGACGAAGCAAAGCAACGACGAGATAGCGATTGTGACGTACGCCGGCTTGAGCGCGACCACGCAGGAAAGAGTGCGGAGATTCGAGGAAGAAACGAAGGCGATGTTGCAGAGAGACCAGCATCGGCAGAGACTCGAGGCCGAGAAGAGGGAGGAGGAGAAACGGAGAATCGAGATAGAGTGGCAACTGGCGAAACGGGAGATGGAGAACGACGACCTGCTCGACAGTATAGTCGACACCACGGTGTCGCCCAGCCTCTTGTCGGAACGTCTGTCCAGTCTGAACGAGAGGTTTGCCGATAAGTCGCTGATAGATCTGTCCGAGAGACACGGCAGATCGCGTTCGATCACGCGACCACCGCTATCGATAGCCGTGCAACAGCAGCCCATGACGCACCAAAAGGTGCAGGCTACCAATCAGCTGACTAGCGTACTGGGGGAGAAAATGAATAACGGCGTCATTAAGAAATTCAAAACGGACAAAGATGTAAGCTAATTACAATTCGTGCTCGAATGGTCGTGGCATGGTAAAGGTGTAAGTCGATTCTTCTCTTCCGCAAGAGTCGACTTGCTCATTACTTTGTTACTCGACAAAGACGCTTTTCGACTAAACAAGCTTGCTTACGCGAACTCGTTGGCATTACAGCCGTCGATGGAGTCGATTTGCTTGCCGCCAGTTCGTTACGGAAGTCTGGATTCCTTGCACGAGGTCCACAATCTCTCGCAGTCCTCTCCGTCACCGTCGCAGCAGCAGCGAGGCGTTCCCGGCGATGGCTCGGATGATGGTTAGTATCGCATTCTTTTGCATTCTCACGTGATGCTGTTCTGAGTCTCTTCGTACTGCACTAGATACCGAAGCAAATCCTCCGTGTTATCATTCTCCGAGTCATTATATTGCGATAAATACGTGAAACAGTGTACGAACACGCGCGACAATAATTCTCCTGTACTCGTTATTCGGCAGGAATATCCATAGATAATTTAGCGAACAACGTATATATGAAAAACGGTGATGATCGAAATTTAAGGGATCCATAAAAGATCCGTGTGTTGTATATGTTGTATGTACCATTAGAACGAAATGCGTGAAAAGTAGCGATACAGGACCAGAAAGACAATTTCGTTTGCCATTTCTGCAGCATCTCGTGCTCGTCGATTCAGAAAAAAAATATATATAGCGTCTTCCTGTATAGCAACGTATTCACGAACGAGAGTACCGCCTTGTTTATCTTCTTTCGTTTATCCGTGGATATTGTCGACTCTCGTTTTTCAAAGTCACGTGTATAATTAGGTCGCGTACTCTCTATCCCGTATTACATGTCTACCTCTATTCATATTCTCTTTTTATATCTTTTTTCTCTATATAATATCGCTTCTGACGATCGGTGAGTGTAGCAGGATCTTGTTTTCTGCAGTGGACACAGAAGATACTCACTATTAACAAAAAGCTTTCTAGGTACATTCCTCTTCTTATTTGCTTCAAGCGACTTTTTTATACCATTTTACTTAAACGATTATACAGTGTATGTTACAAAGTTATCACCGTCATCGCGCGGAAACCTTTCGACTCTCTTGCGTTGCCGTTCGCCGTTCATCATCGCGCGAACACAGCATTGGAACGTAGCAACTTGTTTCGCATATTCTTTAGTACGACACGACACACGAGGCTTCTTGTAATGAAAACAGATTGACTTTTAGAAAATATCTCGTACTGTTGCGTTCAAGCGCAAGGAGGGTCGGCCACAAAGAGGATGCTAGAATAAAAAGGGAAGAAGAAACGATACGTACACAGGGTGTAACAGCCAAGTGGGAAAGTATTTGAAGAGTGAATTCTACAGATCAATCCGAGAAATGCTTTCCCACCTTTCTATTCGAGCTATAGTTATACGATGAATAAAAGTCGCCTAATTATATCATTTTTAACACACTCTCGTTACGATAACTGTAGCTCGAATAAAAAAATTAAGGATCGTTCGACCTCATCTGAAGAATTCTAGAGTTACACATTGCGTCTTTTGGCCGAGCCTCCACTTGTACGTGTTGTCATGTGATGCATGCCACTCTTTGGCTTTCGGCGTTGAGAAAAGCAGATTTTTTTGTCACACACGATTGGCTTGTTCCGCGATCTTCGACGGGGTTTTCTCCCAAATGTATAATCGGCGTTGAAAGGATCGAGGCTTGCTTCTTTTTTTTTAATAACTTTTATGTCCGATATCTAACAAGGGACACAAAAATCCCCCGTTGGATACCGGATACGTTGTAATTAAAAAAGGGAATGTCCGAGTCCTTTCGACGCAGACTGTGCAAATTGTCGGGCAAACGGTCCCTCGTCGCATGCATGTCTCTCGAGGCTTCGAATGAACTCTTCGATCGATTGCTTGCCCTCGCAATGACGACGAATCTTGTTAGAAGAGTCGCACTTGTACGCCTCGTCACCGAGTAATCTCTTGACGATGAGTTTGAAGGCATTTTTTCTCACGCGTTTACCATCGTAAGCGGCACTTCGATGGGGCGGCTGCTCTGACTGTTAGCGAAAGTAATCTAGTCTCGCACCTTCTCGCCGCACACGTCGCGCATTTCCGAGTCACACTTGTCTTACTGCTCGTCTGCCTGTCTAGTCTATCGTTTAACGAACTGCCTGTGCCGATTGTGTTCTTAGTTATAAACGTGATTGTCTCCGCCCGCCCTCAGTCTACGTCTTTGCGATTAGACACGCCCGAAAAAAAAAAAAGAGTACGATTATAGCTGGCCCGAGACGGCGTATTCCTTCGAGGTTCCATGGGCTGGGAAAGGGGGAATAAATCCGTCGACGCTCTCGATGAGAGGCGACGCTTGAAATTTGATTCTCCTCTTTTATATATATATTTTTTTTTCTTCCTTCTCGCCCAATTCAGTGTCCCAAGCTCGGTCTCTCCGTCGTGCGGAACATTTATTTCCATATTTTTTCTCTCTCTCTTTCTCTCTCGAGCACCGGATCTTCCGCGCGACAGTCGATCCGCGGAATACACACCTCGGATAAGAATAACAGCTCGGCTAGAAAAAAAAAAGCGTAGAAACATACGGTGGGTCCAGACGCAAAGGAGGAAGACGAGAGGAAGAGAAATTTGTGCTCTCTGCCACGCCCCGGCCGCCACGAATTGTATGACGATGCGAATGACGAAACGAATGGTTGAACACCACGTCTAGGCACACAGCAAGTCCGGGCTTTTGGTGGTACATATCGTCCCACCTATACGGTACCGCAGGTCCCGGTAGCGCCGCCCCGAAGACACCGAGCCAGTCGCCAATGTCAATGCCAGTGCCGGTCGCAGCGGTCCCAATGCCAATGCCCGTGCCCGTGCCCGTGTCAGTACCAGCAGCAGGATCAACAGCAGCAACAACGACAGCAACAGCCGCAGCGGCAGCGGCAGCATCAACGCTGGCAACTGCTGTCGCGTCTGCAGCAGCTACCGCATCATCATCATCATCGGCGAACATCGAGCCCGCCACCGCCGCCAAGACTCTAAACCGATTCCTCCGAGGTAAATTCCAGGTCCGCTTGCCAGACTAGAGGTCTGGAAACCAGCCTGGCATCCAGCATCCGAGGTGTCCGACGAGCTGACACAGCTGGCTCACCCGAATGGCTTTTGACACTATTTTCAGTTTACGTGTACACTGTAATACTGAGCACGCGTTCACACACACACACACACACACACACACACACACACACACGCGCGCGCGCGCGCGCGCCATTGTTTGTATAATACTCTCCTACGACTAACCGTCTATTGTACGCCACGTCCATCTCGTCCATCTCTCGTCCGTTTACGCATCCACCCGCCCATCTCTCGGCGGCTGTTACCAACGCGCGTCCAGCGTGGCGAGCCCGTTGTAAACTCCGTCAGCGTTCACGCGACTTGTCGAGGAGACAGTGAGCGGGTCTCACGATGGCTTTCACGCGCGCAATAACGCTGTGGAGACACTGCATTCTGTTCCCTCTTCCTTGTATCTCACCCCTGCTGGACAGGAACTCGTCCCGGTCCTCCGCTGGCGGAGCGCGTGCTCGACGAGGCCCAGCGGCGTCGTTTCCCCGTGCTGTTTTATTTTCGCCGTTTGTGCCGCCCGGATGTTTGAGCGTATGATTATGAATGGACTCTACATAACATGTACAGCGCCCACTAATTGCGAAACTGTTACGTAACACATTCAAAATGAGAGATACCTGCGCAAAGACGTAGCGTCTCTCGCGCTGGAGAAGCGACGACGAATCACTTGGCGATTTTTTAACGGATATACCACGCTTCTGCGTTTTTCTCTTCTTTTCACCAGTTTCGTTTTAAGTATCTTTGTTCTTAGCACTGTTTTGTTAAGTGTACTTTTATGATTTTCAGCTTTTCAGGCATTGCCGTGTCACGTACATTGTGCTCAGACATTTTTATGTGCCTCGCGTGTGTACCCTCCGTCTACTCTTTTTAAATCTCCCTTTCCTTGGCGCTGCCAGACGACGCTCGTCGCGATAAGTTGCACTGTCCGCAAAGCATTTACAGACATACCGTCCAACTGTGTACAAATCTTTACTCATCCAGTTTTCTCAATCGCGCGTCCAAGGACGTCCTCCTCGTCTTCCTCACGCTTCAGCACGAGAAAAAAGTACGGACGTTAACGATGCTAATTATGTTGTTGTCGCAATGTACACCGGCTGTCGAAGCAACGATTAATTCTATTAATAACGACGACCATAACCGAGTAATAACGTGGATGGTGGTGAGAGATTGAACATGATAACTCATTAATTCCTTCGTAACAATTTGCGTTTACTCGATGTCGCCGGTGTTTCGATGCTGCCACTGTTCACTGTCATTTCTACTTTTCTTTCGCAGCGGTTTTTCCGTTTTCCGCAGGAATGCACTCACGCAAGGATTCACCGGTCGCGCGCGACCAACGGAGCGCGTGTATACACTTGCTGGCATATATTCACCTCGTTTAGCGATTGTGTCACGATTATTACGTCCGTTACAATAACGATCAAGTAACCGCTCGGTGCTTTGAGTGTTTCTTTCTTCTTCTTCTTTTTTTCTTTTGGCGTACGAGTTCACGGCCGGTCCTCGCGTATCCCGGCGCGATTAACACGGCTCTCCTGTTACAGGTAGCGACCTTCTAACGAGCCTCACGACCACGTTCGATCGCAAGTGGAGGTCCCTCGTCAATCAGTCGTCGGGTCAGGCGCAGCCTCCCCCGGAATCCGCAGCCCGTAACAAGGACGGCGTCACGGAGCAGCAGGCGCAGAAGCCGAGCGCGTCCCCGAGAATCAAGTATCCGTCTGCGGAAGCCTATCGCGACCCGAGTCTTCACAAATCCCTCGACAAAGGTCATCTCGCCCGCTCCAAGGATGTAAGTGGCCGATATTGCGCGTTGTCAGGTTTCCGAAGCTATCGGTGTCGTCGGTGTGATGGTACGAGGCGATTATTTCAAATGACAGACTTGCGTCTGGACGCCGATGAAAGTGAGAACGCAACTCCGAAGAGAATGCGACGGTGTACGCGATCGTTATTTCTCGCGCGACACTGCGTGTCTCGTTTAATGTCGTAGTGTCGCATATTTCCAAATCAAAAGTAATGGATAGAAATAGTTCATACATATTGACTGATCTCTTTCGCAAGGTTGTATCTCAGTTTCACGCCATTTTTGCGGGGTTTTTCTGCTTAAACGCTCATTCTGAACTAAAATAAGAAAGGGATCGGTCGATATGACTCTTTAATAATCCCAACAATGAACGGCATCATCATAGTTTCCGTTTCGTTTGCCGCAGGACGCTCCCGAGAAGGATACCGATTCAACGGTAGCCGACGACGTGCCGCATCCTTCGGAAGCCGTCACGCCGAACAACGACTGCGGCGCGAACGACAAGCAGAGGCTGGAGACGAAGTCTTTGACGAACCACGCGACGGAGAACGAGGAGCGGAGGAGTGTGGACGAGGGGGACGATTGTCTGCGCGCGGGAAACCCGAAACGATACGAATTGTCGAGCGAGAAGGAGCTTCAGGAAAATAAATCGGAGAGCAACGACGTGGGCGCGAAAGTGGAGGACAACAGCAGGAGCCATCATTACGAGACCGGGGACTCCAGTTACTCCAACAAGCTGAAAAAATTTGAGAGCCTGACCAATTCCCAGGCGAGGTCCCGCCTGAAACGGTCGGAGTCTCTGAACAAGAGGACATGCGAGACCACGACCTCACGATTAAAGAGATCGGAGAGCCTGAACAAGCACTCGACCGAGAGACTGTCGCCGCTCAAACGATCCGAGAGCTTGAACAAACACTCCGGCGATCGATCGGAGTCGCCGGGCAGCAAGCTGAAGCGCTCGGAGTCGCTGACGAAGACCGAGAAGACCGAGTGCAATATCAGTAAGCGGCGACAATCGGTGCGAAAGGAGAGCGCCACCAAGTTGAAGCGGAAGAACGGAATGTCGGAACGGTCGATCAAGCGCCGGCACACGGTCGGCAGCACCAAGGACTTCGACAAGGTGCACTGGCTCGATAACAAACTGCAGTCGGAGGCCGAGAGGGTCATCAGGAGCGACTACAGACCGAAGAAGAGCCAGCTCCGGACCAGCTCGCCCGATCTCAGCACCAATCGCGTTGGCATGGCCGACACGAGTTTCCTGATCGAGGTGAGCTTTCGCGGGCCCAGCAACGTCGTCTTCAACGTGACCAACGCCGCTCGGCCGCAGTCGCTGCCGGACGCGAGTCTCGCGTCCAAGGTTTTCAAGGTGCCCCTCGAGAGTCACGTGTAATACGCTACGAATAAATTACTCGACACATTTCCACACTCGCCCCTGAGCAATACATGCACACAGTGCTGCTGTCATATCTATACCTGCCATCATTTTTAATACTTGTACCGGTTTATATTATATATAAATCGAACTTTTTTTTCGTCAGATTTTTATACATCTCATATTGCATAAAAATGTAACTGGATTGCATCCAAACCTGAGTTCGTTCGCCGGAAACGCTGACATTATTCATTAATCGCCAGTGTGCCAAAGAACCATGAATCATTTATCATTGTCGAACGATAATATCGAAAATTCGTTACTGCGGCTAGGCTGAATTAGATAAACAAGAAGGTACATCTGTCACTACGTTCTCTGCACTGTGACAGTTCAATTTTTAATCGGGTTTAATTTACAATAACGCGAGATCGTTACAACGATCAAGAATCGTTCTGAATTAACGAATCAGAAGCGGTTAAACTCTTTAACGAGAAAGATCGGGACAGTTTGCCGATCTGCAGACAACGGGAATAGACAAGTTGCATTGGAGAAACGTAAGAAAGTTATTTAGTGATTATATATTGCATGTGGTATTTGCATTGTGTCAATTTTATATATATAAAGATATATATACCTTATCTTACTTGTGAATTGTGATTGTGACATTTTTTGTACATAAGATGTATAATGCGAGATAACTCGATTAAATATTAGATCTAGTAAGGTGACTATATTATTGTACGTCTTTAAATTTATATTTTAATAATCACTTATTGACGATCATCGCGGATGTTCAGTATGCGCGCGAGACTAGCCCGATCCTAGTGTACGGATCGCTACTGGCTGCTGGCGAGAGTGCATTATTTTTAACGCGGATGTGACAAAGGTGATCCCTTATTAGGATAAAAATCACGACGGCGCGGGCGTACGATCGTCGGGACGCGTCGTCGCGGGCGATCGATACACTTGAAAGTTCTTTGAAAGGTAGCATCCATGTAGTGTTAAGGAATCTTTTTCTACGTAAGCTCTCCGATGAAAAGTCTACGATGTGATAAATCTTAATCGATCGCGCGTCTACTCATGTACGTACACATATCGTTATGCGTGCTGCGGCTGGATGCGTGCGTGCGGAAGTTTACACGAGCGCGTGAAAACCTATTTTCTATGTGCATTGTGATCGATACTAACGATCAGTCTAGTACTACTACTGTTGCGTCATTGTAAAAATTTTATCGTACAGCAAGGAAGGTAGGACGCGAACGGTGCCGTCAATTATAACGTATTGTACATTCGGTGCCTCGCACGACGGCGAGATCCGTTCGTTCCGGGGCGAACGGGGGGGGCCTCCACTCGCTCCGAACGAGCGGAGGAGCCTCGTCGTCCGCCCGGATCGACCGGGTCTCCCACTGTGCCCCGTTACGAGGTTGATATGTTAACTGGTGCAACGCACGTATTGTGTATCGCTCTTGTATCGCCGTAAGACAGTTACTCGATATACCGGACGCTCGGGTCTCCCCCCCCCGCGTGGATCGTTAGTGTTGCATTATTTGTACCCCCGAGATACTTTACACCGTGCGAGACTCCTCTCCGCCTTTGTCCACGTAATTTGCGTTAAGCGGTCGGCGCTCGCGTCGATAGAGCTATCGATGAGCGAGCGTCAGGCCAGAGAGACCCGGCGTTTCGATGCCGCGACTGAAACTTCGATCGCGAATACGATTACGGAGGAATCTTGCGCGCGACGTATTAATCGTCTAATTTATCATTAATGTACACGTAGAACTCACTCGGGATCGGCGCAATATATCGCTACGTTAAGTTTATGCGTTGGGAGATTAAAGACAACGGCACACGGCACTATTTTGCCTACTGGATCGCTTACGAGAGCCAATCAGGATTTAGCCTCAAGTAACCTGATCTAAAACTCCGCATCCTGATTGTCTCTCGTAAGCGATTCAGTAGGAAAAATAGTATCGTGGCTCAAAACCAACGGCACACGGTACTATTTTTTCCTACTGGATCGCTCACGAGAGCCAATCAGGATGCGGAGTTTCAGATCAGGTGATTTAAGGCTAAACCCTGATTAGCTCTCGTAAGCGATCCGGTAAGCAAAATAGTATCGTGTGCCGTTGGCCTTAATGTGTAAATACGTACCGGCTAAATTTTGCGCGCGAGTCATCGTACGTCACGTGTGTTATCTCTTCTGTCTGTCTTGTGCGGTGCGTTCGCAGTCGTTTAAACAATTTTACGTAATACCAGTTTTATCGCTGTCGCGCGAATCGAGGAATCCGAAGCGTAAAAGTAGCCGAGACAATCGACTTGATTATGTATGTAAATACAAATGTAACTAAATTCTAAGAGACGACGATAAGAAGAGGATATTTATTTCGAGAGGAATAGCGATTGCGATCGCGTTATTTATTATATTAACCCAAGCGGATACGTTCGTCGCCAATTCTTGAAGGAGCACGAAGTTGTAAATAAATATATTACTATGAGAAAGAGAGGACCGAGTCTGTGAAAGCCTTCGAAATATTTGCATCCCTGTCTACTGCATTTGAATTAGGTCCCGGCGCTAACTTCAGGTGGCACTCGCGAGGATTTTTATCGATCGGATCTATCACGCGGGGCTAACTTCAGGCGATTCTCGAAGGGGATTCGTTTCTCGTAGCCGAGCTTTCTCGACTCTCTTTTCGTCCCTTCCCCCATTTCCTCTCTAATTGTACATTCATTTGACTTTAAGTCCCGGGAAGTTGAACGCAGGCCGCGGAGAACGGATCCAGGATTTATACGGCAAGCCGCGAGATCTCGAGGTATCCGCCTGGAACCCGTTCGCCTCCTCGCTGTGCAAAATGAATGTAATACAGGCCGCTAAGCCGCGAGGACGGTGCGCTTATGCGAGAGGAAGGATCGCCGCGGCACCAAACGCGCAACGCGCCGCAAACATCTTTCCGAAATATCGTAAGTGGCATCCGTGACGCGCGTCGCCGCGCTACAAACGCTCAGTCCAATTGTTCATATTTAGAAAATTTCAACGAAATTTCTACCTCCCCCACATGACGATTTTATCGTTATTTTAACGTTAAAATGACGACAAATAACGTCGGCTTGCTACCTGCTGGGTAGTGACTATCGCCGTACGAATCTCTAACTTTGATTTAACTCTCCTCTCTAACGGTGAATCGATCCAGGTCGATTACGGTTTGCATGCGCGAAACGATGTTTATTCACGATTTTGATCTGGCGTCGTTTCTTTTTAATGTCGATGCGCTTTGATCTCTTTTTTTTTATATCTGGCCGCTCGACTGGATCCTCTACGCGGATACGTGACTTTTGCGCACGCACGTAGAATTCGACTCGGGCTTTCGGAGACCTGCGACGAGCTCCGGGCCCGTCAACTCCAATGCGAAGACGCCGAAACAAAATCGCAGAGAGAACTGCGTTTCAACGTCGTCCTACCTGCCGAGCACCTCTCGCCGGAGCGTCGGGTGAGCTGTAAATTTCGCGCCTACAGGCCTCTCTTTATGCAGAGAATGATTCCGCAACGTTTGTCGGAAAACGTGTCGGAGCAAATATTTTTTTCCCCTTGACCGAGCGGCTCTGGATAATCTCGGTATCCTTGTACATACACTATTTGAAGATGAGAAGGAAAAACCGATAGTATCAAAATTAAATAATTTTTTTACTAACTCGACTTTAAAATTATTTCATCTTGATATTCTTACGCACGAAAAAGTTTGTCGAATTACGCGTAAAAAGAAATCTCGGTGAAAAAGGTACAATTTCTCACATGCAGACGCAGCCCTGCTTCTGCGTGTGAGAGAGAAATGGCATTACTCTTCTTCCAGTTTCCATTTTCGCCCAGAAAAACCTATGTACAATCCAAGCCGGTTAATACAAGAATCTCTTTCTGTGCAACCCTGTTCTAATTTTTTAGTTACAAAGTATATATTTCTCGATTGTTAGCTCCGTTAATCCGAAATCGACTCCGTTCGGCACGTCCAGCAACGTGGAGTCCTGCATAGTGATCGGTGAGCGAAAAACTCAAGTAGCTCGCCCCTTAGGGCCTGATTCTTATAAAGACAATGTTTTATGTTTTAAATCCTTGTCTTAAAGTAACGCACAATAACTGTCTTGTGACGTAAGAATACAAGACAGCCATTCTGCTCAGGCCCTTAGGCTTACAAGTCTTGCAACTAGTCACAGATATATTTTACTCGTTATCAGCGTTAACTGCCGGCCGAGGAGACGCTAGCAACGAGGTTGGTTTAGCAGCGATAGACCTTCAATATCCGTACTTGATCCTTTGTCAAATTAGCGACTGTCAAACATACGTGAATACTATGACAAAGATCAACATCCTCGACCCGATAGAAGTGAGTTCTTAAGCCAGAAGATAAATAAATTAGGGCGATCATTGACGATAGAAAGGGTAATAAACGTATTCCCTCGTCGCGCAATGTCTTTTCTCTTTCGTTCAAGATACTGATGCCCGAAACGATGTGCGAGCATCGTGGCCGCGGCAATAAGCTGTACAAATCGATCAAGGAGAAGTTCAACGCGCTGAACGTCACGCCGATTTCGCGAATACACTTCAACGAGTCGACGGGCTTGGAACGCGTGCGGACCCTCTGCGCCAGGGAATACTCGACCGTGGAGTTGATAGTGAAGCAAAAGTAATCACCGTCGAAAACAATCGCAATTACTGACGTTAATCGTATGAAGCGCCGACTGTTTGCCTCCACACGGAAAAAAATGATGTTGTATCAACAAGATCAGTGTAATTGAGATAAAATGGTTGAAACAACATCAGTATTAATGAATGTTTTTAGTTCAATGGTTAAAATTAAAATCCATAGCGAATACAATCGAGTGAATCATTCATGCTTGTGGCAGCCCGTGACGTAAACGTTTAATTCAAGCAACTTCACTTTCTTTTTTAATTCAACAGCATTGTTTTCCGCGCAGGTATTATGCTTTAGCCGCCGCTGCGGCGTTGCTCAAGTACGTGGAGTACGTCCAGCACATGGTCTACGCCCCGAAATCGGTGAGGATAGAGTTTCAAGGATCGCCGAACACCACGATGATCGGTAAACTGTGTAGCTCGAACCCTAGTGTCACGCGCCAACTACGTATTCATGAATAAACGACGTCGCAATTGTTGCGCAGATATCGAGAGCGCGCGAAGTCTCGAGCTGGTCGTCTCGCAGTCCAAGCAGTCCGTCGTCAGTCTGCTGGGCACGATGAACCGCTGCTTGACCCCCATGGGCAGGAGACTACTCCGCGCTTCCATTCTTCAGCCTCCGTGCAACGAGCGCTTAATCGCCGACCGACAATCTTGCGTGGCGGAATTGGTGGCGAATCATTCTCTGTGCACCAGTCTTCAGGTTGTCGCGCGTGGCTTACGCAGGCCGGTATATTCGTAGTCCGATCTTTATGTCCGAAATTATCTTTGAATACGATCTCGAGACGCCTATCTCGTTCGCCGAATGAGGTCTTAAGTCGGATCGTCAGGTCCACGGTCGGACCTGAAGCGATCTTGAATGTACTACGAGTATGCCGGCCGGTGGTGCCGGTTATAAATTTTAACTCTTTAAATTGAAACCAACGTGCCTGTCCATTCCGCAGCCGGTGGTGCAGCGTCTATTCGGCACGGATCGTTTGCTGGCCTTGGCGATTAAACCTCTGCACGTCAACGACATGCAAAATGCAGAGCGAAATCTAAATTACGCGTTGCTCTTGAAGAGCTGCCTGGACACCGTCCCGGAACTGGAAGCGATCCTCGCGACCGGCGTCCACCCGTTCTTCGTGAAGACGCGAAAGGTTCGTGCTTTCTCGCGGCTTACTAATGTCACCTGTTCGCGGTCTGGGGTTCGATTCTTGAAATCATTCAAAGGAGAAACGCACGCGAAAATTCTGCTCTTACAGAGAGGTTGCAGGTTGATTGGCTACTCGCATAGCTTTCAGCCAATCAACTTGCAAGCTTTCTATAAGAATAGAATTTTCCTGTTTAAAATATTAGATAAAATACGTTCAGATTACGTTAGATCGCGTGCAGTTTCAATGCAAATAAATAAGAGTCTTATTAATTTACATTGAAATTGCACGCAATCTAATTTGTAATCTGATCGTATTCTATCTAATATTTTAAACATATA